TTCACCTGGTGAGCATACAGTTCAGCACCACCATTATAGTGGTGTAGAGGCATAAGAAGCCAGGCTGCAGAATGAGATACATAACCACTGGGCTGAACTTCTTGTACCTGCACTCTGGGCAATAAATATCTATGGAGTAAAAAAAACTGTTTAGCAGACTTTCTAAATTACAAGTAAATTGATCCAGGGAATAGACACTATACATTGATATTTAATAAGATTTGTTCACCAGTAAGGTACCTCAAGTGGTTTTATTGTGACTTTTTTCAAATGGATGGTCTATGAGTTCATAGTCAGATCCACGATCAAATACAGTGCACAGTACAACTGTAGCATTAGCTCCATGTCTGATTTATTTTCTCTATCCAGGCTACTTCCAACTTTTCTATACAGAGAATGGAGCTGAAAGAAATTTCTACCGTTCTGGAGGCTCTGGACTGGCTAATATGGCTTTTCTACTTAATCCTTCTGCCAGACCTTCTGTCTCAGGGTACAATATTTCAACCTGATTCTCAGTCTCTGAATTTCATCACATGCCTATTGAAGCCCAATACAGAGAGAACATGGCTTATTAGAAGCTCTCCTATCTACTGTGCTTTGGGTCTGTAAAGCATCTTCTCACTGTGCTTTACAACTCACACAGGGACGATGGGGAGCAAAAGTTGCTACCCACCAGAAGGAAGGACAGTGTCAGCACCAATTCAGAGATGATTTGGGGATCTACACAAATAAGATTCGTTAATAGTTAGGTATGTGAATACATTTTTAACATTTAACTCCTGGGTTTATTGTCACTTTAACATTGGGTGCTGCAGTACTTTACAAATGCCTAATCACTGCACTCTCTGTACTGTGTATATTCCTGACCCTTGCACTCTGTAAACTGGAAGTACAGCAGTCAAGAGTAGCCAATGTAGAGCACAGCATCCAGAAACTGGTGTCAGGAGTATGTGTTGTACAGCATATTTTACAAACTCTTCTCTGCCATACACTGTACAATGTGCTGTACATTACACACCCAGACTGTCATGCACTGTGCTGGACATTGCATACTCCCGCGCACTCTTTATGTTACATACGTCTGGCCTCTGCACTCTGTGCATTACATATGTCTGAGCTCTGAACTTTGTACGCAACATATTCCTAAACCATAATGCTATATTGTTCATTACATCTCCTGGTGCACATTGTCTAAATAGTTGCTTAATAGGTTACTAAACATTGGTTTCTGTGGCCCTGACACTTATGACACAGTAATCAAATCATATTTTGTGGGTAAAAGGACTGTGGAATATGTGTGCCATATATATTAGGCTCAGGCTTCGTTCACGTAGGTTCCCGAGGCAGGAAACCCAAATCTCCAAGTGCGAATGAGGCCTCAGGGTCTATTTTACCATGATCTTTTAAGGCCGTTTCTGCAAAGTGGCCACACCCACCATTCTCTATGAGCATCGCACAAGTGCTCTCTTTATGGTGCCCAAATGTTATGCAGGCAAACTAAATTGTGATTATAGTAAAAGTTTCTGAATCTAGTTATAAAATCTCAGAGTTCCTACAATTGAGTGTCAAAGAGTTCGACACTGGCGTCTTTGAGTTCAAAGAGGGCAGGGAATCAGTCTTTGGTGGAGGGATGGTGGGAGGAATATGCAAACAAAGGGTTAAGTTCATAGTAGTGAGGTTGTTGAGCTGAGGAAGTGGTAATGAAACAAAGTTCCTTATTTAGTTACTTCATGCAGGCTTGCTTATTTTTGTCACATTTAAAACTATCAATTTGAAAAATGACTAAATTAGATCTAACCATTAAAACATAAAAAATATTTACTGTGAGAATGATTACACTGGTTTTTAAAGAAAGGGACCTTAAGAAAATCTGGAAGCAGACCCTACAATATGTTCCTACACAGTACAATGTAACTGTTACAATGTGGCAGTACCATGGAATTTCCTAACTACATCCCTTTGTGAACAGGAGTTACCAGACTTAGGCTGGGCACACACCTTACAACCATTGCAAGACTTTTGTCTTGCGATGGTTGTAAGGTGCTTAAAAAAATGTACAATCTGCCTCTCTTGCATAGGCAGATCGTACTTGCGAAGATCGCAACCACGCCCCCTGAGGGGCAGGCTTCCGATGACCCCAATGCCGAACGGGCAGTGTGCGCTTGCGCACACCGGCCCGTCCGGCTTTTATCTTACGAAAGTGCTACAGACCCGCGGAACATCGTACGATGCTCGGCGGGTTTTGAAACATGTTCGTAAGTTTAAAGTCATGGGACCTTACAGTAGTAGAGGTCGCACGGCTTCCACACACCTTACGATAATCGTACGATCGCGGGATTTCCCACCTTAACTCTGGGCACCAACTCTTGGCGCTAATGGCTGCCAGCTGAACAATCCACTTGCTGTTGCATAATCACAGTTTTCAACAGTTTATCACACAGACTTGAGGAGCTGCTCATCCAAGGCTCTGGGGCTTACAACACGAACATAAAAACAAAAGGGAACAGAGCGCCACCTCCGTGTGTACAATAGTTTATAAAATAAATAAAACAAGGGATATCTCTACTCACAAGCAAACGTTTTCATCACGCTTTAACAACAAACACGAGGCCACACTGCCTGTTAACCCAACATGATATCGCCCTGGCTATGTTCCACGACTGCCTCCGGTCACATCACCCTCCAAATGCCGCAGTCAGCCAAGATTGACGCGTTTAAGGGGCATGCCCCTTTCATCAGAATCGATTTGACACACGGAGGTGGTTCAAAATTCTAATCTAATGTACCTTACTTTAGTGTTGCCTTTATAGCACTGATAGAAGAAAAAGAAAAAAAGAATGGCTCATAGTAAAAACTTAGGCCTTGTTCACACCAAATGCAGAGCAGATCCGGTCAAGTTTCTGCACATGCACGCTAGTCTTTTAGATGCGTTTTTGACGCGTTTTTTATGCTTTTTGGCTAAAAAACAATTATTTATATTTTTTTTAAGTTTAAAATGGGCTTTCAGTGTGTTCCAGGCATTTGCATGCGTTTTGGATGCGTTTGCAGATCCAGAGCAGGTAAAATAGGGCCTACTGCAGTTTTTTCACCTGCTCAGGACCTGCTCTGTAACTGCACGCTGCGATGTGAACTGGAGCAAAAAATACCATTGGAATACATTGGACGCAGGTTTGATCCGGTCTGCAACTGCTCTGCTCTGGATCTGCTCCGCGCTTGGTGTGAACAAGGCCTTACAGCAGCCCTTTCCCTTGTCACACAAAAAGTAATAACAGCAGTATGATTTAGGTGTTTTGGGCTTCATTCACACACAGCGGTAGCCACTGGCGGAAGTACCAGGGTTGTAACAGTTGCATTTGCGACCGGGCCCTAGTGTTCTGCCACTTGGGGGGGCCCTGACAGGCAGAAGAGGGCCCCGCACCGACATTTCAGAAAAAGATCAGCGTGACCCGCTGACGGGGAAACAGGTCCTCTTGAGTGACAGACTGAACAGCCAGTGACATTTCGCCGTGAGGTGGGAGAGGGGTGTGGGCGTGGCCTGCCCGTGTTGTAGTGGTGTGGAGTGTGGGAGAGCTGCGTGAAGCACTGGGCGGGGTTTCTGATGTTGTGGGCGTGCCCTAGGCTGCATTGTCGGGAAATTTGAAGGATGAGAGCAGCCGTGTCTGCTGGCCAAGGCGGATGGTGACGGTAGAATTGCGGGCCCGGAGCAGAGGAGGATTCTTTCCCAGTGGTCACATCACTCTGTGGACATCAGACATCCTTAGGTCGGTGGCTGCACTGCTGGAGCATCTTCATTTTACAGTAAGTGCATACAGAATGTGGGGAGAATTTATCAAAACTGGAGCTGACCGAATCTGGAGCAGTTGCCCATGGCAACCAATCAGCTTCTATCTTCAGTTTGTTCAGTTAAGCTTTAAAAATGAAAGCGATAAGATGATTGGTTAATATGAACAACCGCTCCAGATTCTGTCTGCTCCCGTTTTGATCAATTCCCTGTGTAATTTTTTCTTGTAGACAACTGGGTCACCCTATTGTATTTTATACGTCTTCTACATGATTTTCATACACATCACTGGCAGAATTACCAGGGAACCAGAGGTCACATAATTGACTGGGCCCTGTCGTTCTGTCGCTTGTAGGAGGGGGGGGAGGGGGCAGAAAGGAAGAAGAGGGCCCGTCCCCAGTAACCGCCGAGGCGCGCAACATTGCCTCCAAGGGGGCCCTTCATGGTTTCTTGCACCGGGGCCCTGAGCTTCCTAGTTATGCCTCTGGCGGTAGCATTTTCTGTGTGCGTAGCAAAACCGTGCAAACCTTAACATACGCACGGATTTCGCACGTCTGCGGCTATCACTATAGCCGGAATGTGCGGAATCCGCCAACAAAATTGCGCTTGGACTATCTTGCTGGATGTGCAGTTTCGTACCATGCAGCCATCACAATAGCCTGAACAATGCACATCGCAGTGCATTGTTTTTTATGTTTAGCGCGTATTCGTACAGCTGAATACGCGTGGAAAACCACTCATGCGTGAATGGCGCCTCAAACCCCTGTAAAAATTCTGTCCTCTAGACCAGTGTTTTTCAACCTTTTTTGTGCAAAGGCACACTTTTTTCATGAAAAAAATCACGAGGCACACCACCATTAGAAAAAACCATCAAAATTGACGTCGATGTCCGTGACGTCACCGGATCTCCGACGGAAGACCCGGAAGCCGGCGGAGAGGTGAGTAACTTTGATCGATCAAAATAATTTTGATCGATCAAAGAAATTAACGATTTATTGACGGCACACCAGAAAATATCTCACGGCACACTAGTGTGCCGCGGCACAGTGGTTGAAAAACGCTGCTCTAGACTAGAAAGCTGCTTTTACAATGGAAGGTTTCAGAAGAGCATATGAAGCCTGTGTCTGAGCAGCATCTGATGAGCTCTGTGGTTTCAGTGTTGCAGCAGGGCCAGTCCCTTCTGAGAAGACAGAGTGAGCATGCGCAGTGCAGCCCAAGGTATGTGCATGTCGAGCTAACAGAGAGGCTTGTCTTTGCAATGCCATGTTTGTGTATGTGTACCATCTACCGGACAGGATTCCGTCAGCCTGCTCGCCCCTCTCTGTAATCTGATGTTTTCTTGTTTCTGTTTTAGTCTTCAGGATAATTCCTTCGGCAGCGCAGCTGTAACAGAGTAAGTGAAATCTTGATATACACTGTATTATCATTGAGTAAACAACAATGTATCCAGTGCCGTGTCTTGCAGCCTGTTTCTAGTGCACTCCCTGCTGCAATTTCCAGATGTCTGAGCGAGTTTATTCTTAGATGACACAGACTGGAATCAATCTGTCTTTTTATACAATGTATAACCTCTATATGTGTGTCAATCACTTCTAATTACATCCAGCAGTGTCATTCTCACGCATTCTGTCAGATTCTCAAGCTTGCTGCTAGAGGAAACAAGAAAACAGGTCGATGTTTGCAGAGTACACTGTGATCACAGTCTTAAATATTTTATTGCTACTCTCCCTATGTTTTATTGTAGATGTATTGATGTGCAGTGCAACATGGAGCATTCGGATCCTCAGCCATTTCGTGCCCCAGAATGATTCCCTATGTATGTCATTTAAAGTCAAATAGGAGGCTGATGATGATCAGTATATGGCTATTCAGCTGGCGAAAAGTGGTGTCAATAATGCACAGGAACAAAACTTTAATAGAGCAGTCATTTTTTTTTTTCCTCTCTCCACCCACACATGCGAGGTGTAGAGATGACATTAAACATAAAAATGACAGGTAGCTTTCTTGTACAAGGCAGCTCATTGTGATGAGAATACATAGTCTTCCAGTTGGAACCCTTCTGCATGCTGTATACAGTGGCTTAGTTATATGGGTTGCACCTGAAATTTCACCTATGTGTTATCAGGACAGCAAAAATAATTTTTATAACATACATTTAAAACGAAACCGCTTGTTCACACAGTTTTGCGTATTATGAATATGTAAAGCATTTAGTTGGTGTGTAATAGAAATCTTGCAGACAACAGCCATTTTTATTCTTTTGTCCGGTATTGAGAAAAATCGTGATATTCAGTCTTGTTCAGCATTCAGAGCCTCGTATTGACCTCCTTTCAGAACAAATGAGTTTTCTTTTGTAGGTTTTTTTGAGCAGTCAGATTTAACGATTTATCCCTATAATAACTGCATTGTGAATGAACGGTTTCCATGGACCATTTACAGTTTCAGTGGAATCAGGCCGTAGAATAGATTCCCACAGTGCTAAAATAATTTTTTTAACCTTTACTGTGCACACAGATATAAGAAAAAAACAAGTTAATGCGATGCAAGGGAAAGCCTTAGGCCTGGTTCGCACCTGAGCGTTTTTACATGCAGATCGGTGAATGTGTAAACACATGGAACACACCACATTTTCATGCAAGTCAATGGCAACTATTTACACCTTAGCGTTGCATGGGAAAAAAAACGCCCGTTTCGTGAAAAGATGCAGCAGCTATTTTGAGGTGGATGGCACACGGTTTTGGTTCTATAGACATCTCTATGCAGGGAGAAATGTGTGTTTTTGAAAGCAAAAACGCACAGTAAAATTGCAACCGCTGAGGGTGTGCACCTAGCCTTACTGAGTGAAACGTGTTGGCTGCCATTTGCTGACAACTTCTAAGTGCCCATTCACACTGATCGATAAATCCCGCGATTTCGCGCATTTTTGCCGCACGATATCGCTAGAAGTCACCGGCCAATTATATTCAATGGAGCTGTTCTAATGTACAGCTCCATGTCGCTGTGGCTTGTGCAGGACCCTTTTTCCCGCAGGTGTCGTGCGATTTTTCTATTTTTTAATGCAGGCCGACGGTGTAGGTCGCGCAATCGTCGCTTGACCGTCGCGCCATCCCGCCGCGCGGAAATCCGCTCGAGGTGAGTGTCGCTTAGTGTGAAAGGGGCCTTATGGTGATGCTGGTTGTCCGGCTTTCATGGTGATGCTCTGGCTTTAGCAATTCCAGTAAGTGGACTGGAGCAACAGGTAGATCAGGGGTCCTGCTTTTGTAATCTGCATGCTTGGTGTCAGTGACTTGAGGTATTGAAGCAAGAGGCAGCCAGGAAACTATCAGATTCAGGAGGCGGTCAGCAATGGCAGTCAACATATCTCTTTCAGTAGAGGTTTACTATAAGCTGATTATAATTGGATGGTACCGCTAAGCAGATCCATGGAGACTGGAGCTTGTGGGCTGTAGGAACATAGATAATAGACAATTTTAGATAGAATGCCATGGAATGCTCAGTGGGTCTCCAGAAAGTGGGTATAAAGAAAGGTCATGTGTTCAACATCCCCTGCATAGTAAACCTCAAAATATCTAGGTATGCCTTTGAATTATCAGTCCACCTTGCAGATGTTTAAATTATAGGTGGACAGTGATATAATGTATATACTAGTTTATGTCTAGCAAGATCTTCTTGATGGGGTTCCTGACTTTGCAGGCCTTTGCTGCATCATCTAGAGGCTCAAAACTTGAATTCTTTGGGGTGGTATTGGTATTGAATGGATCGTTTGCATCAGCAACAGTATGCTTACACTCCCTAAAGACAAAGGGCAATGCATATTTGATGGTGCACCAAAGATTGCAGCCCATCACAGGAGCGAGCTTGGAGCAGTGGCTACTAGGGACCATGGGGAACAAAAGTAGCCATCCTCCAGAAGGAAGGACAGTGTCAGCACCAATGAGTGATACACAAATAAGACACATTTTGTTAATAGTTTAGGTACTTAAATGCATTTTTAAGATTTAACTCCTGAGTTTAGTGTCCCTTTAAGGTATTTCATTCATCCACTCACATTACTACTGCATACCAACAAATAGTTAAATACAAATATTTACTGCAGTGCAACAGTGTGAACCGAGCCTAAAGCAGGTTCACACTGGCGCCTAGACAAAACATGCAGCAGCCCTTTCCATTGTCACACAAAAAGTAATAACAGCAGAATGATTTAGGTGTTTTAGGCTCCATTTACACATAGTGGTAGCGTTTTTCATGCAGTTTTTCACACGGAAAACCACGCAAACTTTAACAACTGCCGGGCCGCGATACGTGCATATGCGGTGGCTTGCAGCCGTGTTCTTGGTGTCATTTTAAACAGCCGGCGATGGCTGTTCAGGTACAATCGATTTGGCGTCTATAGAGCCGCTGGATCATTTGTACAGTTTGCCAGAATGTGTTGCCCCACCCCCTCCACTGGCTTCCCCGGGCTCCGCTGTCCCCCATGCGGGGCCCGGGATCCTCACAGCGGGTGATCCCGCAACGATCCAAGAGAGATCCAGCGGTTTCCAGCCGCTGATCTCTCCTCCGATCACTGGACCCGGACGTGATGTGTATTACATCACTTCCGGTATCACTGTCTACATTCTCCGGCTCTTAGAGCCAGGAGAAGATCTCTGCTTCATCAGCTACTTTGGGGTCCCTAGGTGACATTAGGGGTCTGAAAGACCCCCTGTTGTCTCAATAAGGAGGACCTGTCACACCCTATCTGCGATTAGGGGGCTTGTTAGTGCCCTATGTGATAGCAATAATATTGTATTTATCTACTGCAGTTTTATTGAGTTCTAAGTTCGAGTTAGAACTTTTTCCATGTTCGAAAGTTCGAGTTAGAACCGAACACGGGCGTGTTCGGCTCATCACTATTTGTGAGTGCATTTTATGATTGTTCATTGAAGTCACTTTTACTTTACATGGGCTGTCTTCTGCTGCCCTGTCTTCAGTTTTGTCTTCAGCTCAAGGATCATCCCTTAAATGCTTTTTCTTTTTCCTTGACACACGGGGGGTATTTTGTACACCAATTGTCTACAGGATGCCCCAGAAATCTCATTTCTAGGACTCTGCACAGCTGGATAGAAGCAGACGATGCCCATTTTTTATATAACACGGACATTTTCAATGATTAATTATGACAGATCCGGCTGTTAGCATTTACTTTGACATTTTTGAAAATTGTAGAACAAACCTCGTTTTCTTCAGAACAGAGAACCGGTTAAATATTGTTGTGGGGTTAAATGTTGTACTAAGGGTTAGGTTAGGGTTCAGATTTTTGATGATTGGATAGTTAAAGTGACATTAACCCGGGAGTTAAATCTTATTAATACATTCCAGTACCTTAACTATTAATAAAAATGTATCTTATTTGTGTATCACTCGGCTGTAGATCCTCAAATCATCTGAATTGGTGCTGACACTGTCCTTCCTACTGGAGGGGGCTACTTTTCTTCTCCATGGCACTTGTGTGTGTTGTAAAGTAGCCACCATTCCAAGTTTGCTCTCGTGATGGACTACAATCTCCTGTTTACTTTACTAATTTGTATGGAGATTGTAGTCCATCAAGTGAGTGAGCTTGGTGCGGTGGCTACTTTTACAACACACAGGGACCATTTAATACAAATTAGTAAACTATTGGTGAGATTGTAGTCCATCACGGAAGCAAGCTAATGTATTCTGACAGACACTGTTAGACATCTGCTGATTGGCTGCAGTCACTGTTCGGTCGATAATTTTCCGGCTGGCTCCTTTGATTTCTTGATCAAAGGATATCAGGCTGAAGACCTCTGACAGGGCTATCTACTGAGCGAATTTCGGCTGGTTCATGAAGAAGTATGGCAAGCTTAAATAAGCCCGTATCTTTCCTTAGCAGGTTGAACTTGGGGACTTTTTTTCTCTTTTGTTTCCTTACAGGAATAAATATCCTTTTCTCAAAATGTTTTCAATATAAAAATAAACATCATACTGCTTCTTCTTCATACTGCAAAATAAACATCATACTGCTTCTAACAATATGTGTTAATATTGTTAGAAAGGTAAAGAGTGGAAAGCATATCATATGTCTTTTTATGCTGTGTTGGCAGTTTACTTGATGCAGTGGAAGTGGTGAGATCAGGTGCACTATTTTGTCAAGGTTTCAGCTCCTGGCCTTTGTATGAGGCTGATTTACTAAAGTGATTTACTGAAGAAGTTGACAATGTTAACAAAAAAGAGTGAAGATTCACTGTAATTATCCAATCTTAACAAGAATTTGCTTTTCACGTGACTGGATCATTGATTTGAATTTTCACTCTTTATTTTGTGCAAACATTCTTAAAGGAGAACTACGAGGTGAATGATTTCCACTCATCCTCATAGTTAGTGCCGACCTGT